GAGGAGGGTTCAAACGACACCGGTGTAACTTTTACTAAGTGTTACACCGCTCAATAACTTTATATTAAATGTGAATTTTGAAAATTCAACCGTTAGATTGAAAGTTCATATCTCATAGATCATATATGTCAAATTTTGTTAAAATTGAACAACAACTTAAAGGTAATCAAAGTGTTCATATTTTAGTATATTTTGAAATGTATATATTACGTCAATTTTCTTTTATGAGAATGAAGTATCAGATCACCTTAGATTAATATAAAATTTGATATATATGATCTAAGAGATATGAACTTTTAATCTAACAGTTGGATTTTCAAAATTCACATTTAATATAAAGTTATTGAGCGGTGTAACACTTAGTAAAAGTTACACCGGTGTCGTTTGAACTCTCCTCATATATATATTATACAATCCCTCCCCCTTTTTTGTTTTTATAAAATATAAATTTTCCACACTTTTCCTCATTTTAGAAGAAAAGTTTTCTCACATTATATCCACACTCATTTGAATGCAATTTTCTACCCTTTCCTCTTCTTAAACATACTAAATATTTTAATTTTCCCTTACTTCTTCACTCATCCATTCCCTTCTAATCAATTTTCCCATTCGTAAACATAGTGTTAGTAGTCGAATTGATGCCAGTTTTACAAAAATTACAATATTACTTTACCAAGACCAGAAAATATAATAAAATAATAAAATAATAAAATAATAAAATAATAAAATAATAAAACAGGCCTAGAAATATTAAAAGAAGTTTGCAAATTATCCCCATCCATCACGCAAACATCCCCCAAAATAAGTTGCGAAATGAGGGATAACACATAAGTCATCCATTCTATTTCCCCTTGTAGTTGTAAACCTAACTTAGTAACTGGAAACGAGAACAAAGAATCAGCATCTTTTTCCTTTCTTTAAATTTACCAGTTTACACGTTCATACATGATTGGGGCACAACATAGTATATAATATTTAATTTACTCTACAATCCTATGGAAGTAATTGTGAAATAATACACAAAGTAATCAAATATAGTGCCATTGTGGCAACAAAGAACAACATTTTTGAGGCGCTAAAGTCGTAGAAGCTACAGAAGAGGTCAATCACCCTCTGTTCACCACCTTTTTACACTCTGAAGAAGAAGAAGAGCCTTTTTTGAAGATGAAGGGGCCGGCGAGCTCTGTAAAAAAATAAAATATAAAGCTCGCAATATAGGACGAATTGCATGCCAAACTCTTGAAACATGCCGGCAACTGCAATCATCATCATAGATTTAGTCTGATCGTGGACGATTAGGACCATTTTTATTGCTTCTGTATAAAGGTAATAGCCACTGCGATCCATATTTCTTTCTCCCATAACACCGCCAATATAGAACAAACAATGACAGAATTACACCGAGGGGAATAGCCCATCTGTTTTTATCACCAAAAGTATTATAAAAAGTATTCCATGAAATCTTATAATTATTCGTGACTAAATGAAAGTGACAAGTGAGCATGGTTAAAAATAAACATGGAACAGATTATAATCGGAATGTTAATAAGAATAAGCACGAATACAAAAACGGAACCAAGGTGGAATTTAGACAAGAAAAAGGGAAAACCAATGCATTCACATGTTTTTTTATCAGCCGTTGAAAATGGATTTTAAAAGCAACTGATGCAAAGGTTTTAACATAAATTCAACTCGAAGTGCCAAAGGAAAAAGTTCAAATTACCTGTCAAGATCCAGGACTGGACTGTAAACAACAGTTTCCCAAGTTGCAACTATAAAATGCCAAACTGGGTTATAGTAAAGTGCCTCTGCCGACCAAAACATTCTTGTGTATGTCTCCAGAAATATAAAGAGTGCCCATGCTCCAATTTCAATCAAAATGAATTTTATAAAAAAGCGGCCAATCACTACCATAACCAGTGAGAAGGCCACCAACCAATTGAAGAGCCTGTGGTTGTACTCCTTTATAAACAGAGACCGAGACTTCCCCAACATCTGCATATCCATTAGTTACACCAAGGCAAATTAAGAATTTGAACCAGTTTCAATTCCGGAAAATTATGAATAAGCTTAATTTATCTACTTCATGGAGAATTGAAACAATTATACTTTTAAAGTTAAATAAGCCTACTATATGGCAAAAAAAAAAAAGGCAACTTGGGATATGTAAGGAAAACTGTCACACCTCCACTAAGAATAGAGGTACAGACAGACACATGAAATATGAAATCAATTATTTCTACGTACTGAGACGAGGCCCCGTGAACTCCAATGTTCAAGTAAATACAAAAGGTAATAAAAACAGAATAAGCCCCCCAAATAATAGATTACAAAAAGTCAAAAACACTGTTAATTGTATCAGACCTTCATCATGCGTTGCTCATAATTTGTTTTTGAAGGTCCAACACATTCACGCTCAAAACTTCGATTGCATTGCAAGAAACCTGCATTAAATTTTGCCAAGGAAGGAAGTTTGAGAACTTGAAGCTGATCCATTATGTCCTCACATCTGGTGTACAGTCCCTCACAGAGCTTTGAAGATTGATACTCATTTTTCAAAACAACATGCTTATACACCTGCATAATTTTCCCCAGTAAATTTTAAGTTTAAATCATCAGTCAAATTCCAGGACCGAAGCAGAGCAAAGGTCAAAAAATAACCAAATCAACAAATATAATCCTGATACGATAACATCAAACATTGATATTAAGAAGCTTAAGAGGTACATGATTCTTCAAAATTTCTCACAATCTCACTGTTCTGACTCTCCCACTGTGCACCCCATGATAAGATTCGATTAGCAAAGTCTTTGTTATTTTCTAGACAAACATGCTGCTCTATATAATTGGTTGGAAACACCATTAACAACATGAAAAATCATATACAGGATCTTCCAAACATATCAAATACCAGAAAAGAGAATTTATTTATTAACTTAATTCATTTAATTTTGCAAAGAACCTTTAGAGTTTAAAACTAGAAAATAAAATATATTTGATAGAGAAAATCACGAACTAGCTTTTGCTAACTGAATTCACTATAAACCAATGATATATTGGGCTTTCAGTCTACTATAGTAATTCAAACAAAACCTGTTGTATTTCTTCATCCAGCTGCATAACTGATTTCTTAGCATGGTGACGACCAAAATGCTGCTGATCAAAGACTTGCATGACTTCATCTCTAGACTTATCATGGGCCCCTTGCAGAGATTCCTCAGGAAGAGGTAGAACTAGTTTTGCCATCTTTTCATTGTACAACTTCAGACACTTTTCAAGAATATTCTTGTTGAAAACCTCCACAAGAGAGCCTGTTGATGGAATCTCTCCCTTGTTCAAGGCTTCAAGTATCTAAATTTGAAATGTCAAAATCAAAATGGTGTAAGGGATATGCACACAATGAAGTCACATCAAAAGCATTATTTTATTTTAATCATTAATCTAAATCTGACCATACTAAAACTGACCAGTGAAATATTCACAAAAGAAAACTCTTACACTTACAAGAGAGTGAAAAAGGTAAAATCATGAGCACCTTGTAAAGTGTCAACTCAAGGTTAATAGTATAACTAGGAAGAAATATATTCTACTCTCACCACGAAAACAATTCCAGAAGACAGATTCCAAAATTTGGTTTCCATTTGTTTAACTATAAATTATTCATCTTTACATTCTCCCCCCAAAAAAAAACTTATATTTAATAGTAGAAACTGCTTCTCAAGCATTCTAACTTTTTTTTCAAAGAAAACCAATTAGATAAATGACATGAAGAGAAGTAAAGCACTGTATGATATTTAGCCATGTTTTGTCCTACATAATTACTCTGCTGGTCCTATAGTACAATAATTATGAAATCGGAGAATATGCAGTCTTCTGTAAAAGTTTTCCATAGATTATTATTTAAAGAAACGTATATCACTCTATGGAAAACTTTTTTAATACTTTACTCCATATCCAACTATGATTAATTTTATTATTTTCTCCTCTTATAGGAACATCCAAAATTAAGTACCTGCTCCAGGAAGGAGACAAACTCCTTCCCATTTAGAGTCTTGCCCTGTACAATCTTTGGAGAGATTATGCTAGCAACAAGCTCTTTCAATTGATCCCTTCTCTTGATATATAATTGATCAAGCTCCCCATCCTTCATATCACAAAGCTTTGTCCGCTGGAGATGTGGCTGTTAAGGTCAAATTTTAACAATCAGTTAGATCAACTAACACAATGGTTTTAACAAAAATTAAAAGACTGCATTTAATATTGCAAAACTTTCCATCAAGAAATATGAAAACATTCATGGCCTACGAAGGTGGATTAAAGATGCAAAGAAAACTATAGATAATTATTAATTGAAATAACACCTGAAAATCATCAGTCAGAAATAAATTACTCCCAATACTACAATTTCATTCTTCATGACCAAAAAAAGTCAAAGGTCTTTCCCAATGACACATATAACCTTAATAAAGAGAGTAGTTAAATAACCATACAAATAAATAACTCAATAGTCATATATGCCTTATCAGCTCGAACCTGCCATTGGAGTTTCTCAAATACATTTGAGAAGCAAGGCAGTAACAAGAAGCAACACAATGGGGAAGAAAAATGGTTCTGTACCTAATACTAGCATGTCTACAAATATGAAGACTGGTTAATTATAATTGTGCTGGATGTAGAATTCAATGCAAGCCGAGTTTGAGCACTAATAACATTTATAAGTTTATCATCCCAAATTTTGACAGTGAAATGAGAAGTCAATAGTGTGTCCTCCAGCAGAAAACACGAGAATTTTGTTGTGACAGCATGAAGAAAACCACCCAGGCAACATGTTAATGTGGGAATGTGAGATAACTTCGAAACTGTTATTTTATTTTTTATTTGCCACATATATGACTAACAATAGGATTTTCTACAATGACAGTTAAAAATCATCCACCCTCTTCTGTTGAAATCAATAGATAACTAAGACAAGTTCCAACCTCATCATTTTATTTACACTCAAAGCTCCATATATCAGAAATCCAGATAAAGAAACTCAAATTAGGTTTAAAAGAATAACAAATTAAAGAAAATTTCACTAAGGGACATACTTGCGGTAAGCTGAAGGCAGTGCTGTTGTCACCCATAACAGCCAATGAATCCCGGATTTGATTGACCTGATGAAGTTGACTTTTAGTATTATATAAACATTCAGTTCCAGACTAGTATTATTTTACTAATAATTGGAAATTGAATTTAGGATGAAATACCACGTCAATATTTTTGTTCCCTGCAATTAAATAGTAAACAAAGCCTTCCATCAGATCATTTGGTTTAAAACAAACTGAACCATGTGAAAAAGGTAAGTTTTATGCAAGGCTGCAAAATATGGTACAAACCATCAATATTGGGGACTCGTCTAAGAGCTTCATCCACCATTTCTTGCACCGTTTTCCCTTCTGTAGGCAATTAAGGAGAATATCAGCATCCAATAAAGTGCACATGATAATGTCAAGGTCAACTAACTGGCCTGCTCATGCAAGAGCACTTTGATCTTCAAGTGAAGTCAATGCACAAGCCTATTTTACCATATGTAGAAATTGAACTTTTATTTAGAATAATGAACTGCAAAGATCAAACTTTTGACCACTTAATCAGAGGTTCTAATATCATGTCAAGGGCCAACCTTCCTAAAACATAATATGTTAGGTGAAGACTCATGAATGGTTTTATTATATCTCTAATAATGGACAAGTGCATCAACAAGAGTTGCGATGCTTAGAATTTATAACCAACCCAAACATTTAATGGTATAGTAGGTGGGGGGATGGGAAAAACGGGGTAGAAGACATAGCATTATTAATTAACTTGCTTAGATTCTATCTAACTTATGTGAGATTGGAGCTAAGATTTTGTTGTGGATACAATTGATATAGGCTGAGATTAAGTTAGATTATTAGTGATTGCTGTTAATACTCCCTTTTCTTATCTGTATAGAATATTGGTAATAAGGCTAGAACGATTCCATGATTATGCATGATTCCTTCTATATTTTTTGAATCTTTCTTGCCTGATGTATCTATAAAATTTAAAGGTTGAGGGTTGACTCATAAGCAAGTTGTTCCCTCAATCCCAAGTCTCTATTTTGTCTCAAGTTGGTATCAAAGCAATGTTCAGTGGGCCAGATAAAATCTTTGTTCGCCAAAGAGAACCCATCATCACCTAATTGTCCCTTCATTCGGCCTAGACATTGGCACAAGGTTTAGAAGCCCAATATCAGCCCTCTCCCTATGACACCGCCAAACTCACTTGACAATGTTTGCATGACCTACATTTTCCATAGCCTTAATAGGAATTATAAATTCATCCAAAACCAAATCCTAACAACTAGTTTTCCTTGGGCAAAGAACCTAATTGATTGTTTGATTCGAGCTCCTATTTCATAGGGGACCCCAGTAGCAGGTTCACAAGCAAGAGCAGACTCCTCAACTTCTAGCTTAGGTAGTGGTTGTCGTGGAGGACGAGCCATAGTGTAGTAGAGGAGGTGGTGATCATCGACATCCTTAATGCACATACTTAAAATCGTTTTGAACATACCTAAAATCAGTGTTATTCTCTAATTGGTTTTCCAGAGAAGTCAGTAAATGTCACTCAGTCCACTGAGACTGAAAATCAACCTGGACCCAAGAACAATATCATGTTTTCTGTTGATGGATATAAGAAGTTTCTGTAAATAATGCATCACAAGCATCATCTTTAGCGATTGTTACTCACACCAATAGTTCTACAGTTTGTCTTTCTAAATTTCTATTGGATTTTGGACTCTGATGCTTCTTATCATGCAGTTGGTCATCCCCTTCTTTTCTCAAAATTATCTCAACCTAAATCTCCATCACATTACACTTGCAGATGGTTCTAAAGTAAAAGTCAGTGGTATTGGTCATGTCATTCCCCTTCCATCTTTGTCCCATAGACTATGTTCTTATTATACCTAAATGTCCTTTCAATCTAATCTGTGTTTATCATCTTACTCATACTATTAACTGTTCCATAATCTTCACTTCTGACTCTTTGCCTATAGCAGACCAGAGTATGGGGCAGACAATTAGTTCAGAATGAGTCACATACCTTTAGTTCCCATCTTAGTTACATGTGGCATACAAATTCTCATTGTTTAGGTATCTAAGTCTCAAAATGTTGAAGAAAAGATTCCTACGTCTTTTTTGCAATCATTAGAATGTAAGTTGTGTCAATTAGGAAAACATGTTTATACCTCCTTTGGAAGCAGTGACCTTTCTAAGACGTCTTTTTTTGATATCCATTCTAATATTTAGAGTCCTAGTCATGTTACTTCTATCTTAGGGCATAGGTACTTTGTTACTTTCAATGATGAGTTTTCTGGATGAACTTGGATTTTTTCATAATAAAGGAAAGACCAACAAATTTTAATGTGTTTCAAAACATTTATAAAGAAATCAGGACACAATTTTGCTGTTCCATTTGCATTTTAAGGGAGGAGAACGAAGCACTTAAATACTCTAACATCCCATACTACTCAATGTGGAACTAGCACTTACATACTCTAACATCCCATACTACCCAATTTGGAACTTAGGCCCGCATAATACCCAAGTCCTTATCATAGCACTACCCTGGAGACTAATACTAACATTCCATACTACTCAATGTGGAACTAGCACTTAAATACTCTAACATCCCATACTACACCCAAGTCCTTATCATAGCACTACCCTGGAGACTAATACTAACATTCCATACTACTCAATGTGGAACTAGCACTTAAATACTCTAACATCCCATACTACACCCAAGTCCTTATCATAGCACTACCCTGGAGACTAATACTCTAGCATTCCATACTACTCAATGTGGAACTAGCACTTACATACTTTAACATCCCATACTACTCAATGTAGAACTTAGGCCCCACATAACACTCAGGTCCTAATCATAGCACTGCCCTGGAGAGAATAAGTCTTGGCAGCTTACACTCAATGACACTTCAATCATCCAAGCACTTGGGAAGCCCTCACTTAAAAGTATGTTAAGGGGGGAGAACCAAGCACTTAAGTACTCCACTGAGTATCCCATACTACTCAATGTGAGACTTAAGCATCCCATAAAACCCAATTCCCTACCAGATCACTACATTTTTATTTGGTTCCAATGATCAACTTGCTGAAATCTTCACCAAAATTTTTCACAGGCCAAGAATATTGTACATATTTAGCAAGCTAGATGTAAACGATTTATACTCACACCAACTTAAAGGGCGTGTTGAGATTCTATCTAGATTGTGATTGGGGCTTCGATTTCATTGTGGATTTGATTGATATAAACTGATATAATGTAAGAATATTTGTTGATTGCTGTAAATATTTCCTTCTATTATCTGTACATAATATAGGTAATTAGGTGAGAATATTTTCCTGATTCTTTCCATATTTTGGGGGATCTCTCTTGTGCAGTGAATCTATATAACTGAAAGGCTGAAGGGCTGACACTCAAGCAAGTTTTCCCTCAACTCCAAGTCTCCAATTTCTGTCTCAAGTTAACTTACGCAAAAAATCACGTTGGATGAGCCATAAGAGCTTAGCAGGTTCAAATGCAACATCTTGACCCTATAAAATATCCGAACATTCAAACAAAATTAAAATTATCAATGAAAAATTTTACATAAATAAATAAAAATAAATAGAAAGAATGAAAGATTAGATCAATGTAACAACACTAAGGCCATTACCTTCACTCTGTTCAACACGCCATAGTTGCAAATTTAGGATTTGCAAATCAAACAAACAAGTTAGTAACTATATGTTATTCCTGAAAAGACGAGGATTTATTAACAAATATAAAGTTCATCAAGATGCAAACCTCCCATAGAATTCTTCAGCAAGCTCAACCGCAAAAGAGAGTCGAGAGATATCAGCTTCACGTATCTGAATACACAAAGATAACAACATTTCAGTCTGACCTAAACAAAAACAATTTAAAAGAAATATGCCAGTTGAAGAGTTCAAGATTATTCAGTCTCTACCAAGTAAATTGAAACTTGATATAGAAAAGTTTCATGATAAGAAAACTTATCTGTCCTCAATGGTTCAAAGCCAAAAGATAGTAGTGAGGTGATTTTTGTCCACTATTCTATTTTTTCACAAATTATTTAATGACAGAGCATGTTTTATTTTCATCGATTCCCAAATCCTTCTCCAATCTATACTCAGTATCCTTGCTTTAAAACCATTCCTAATACTAATTTTTTTCTCCATTTAACCTAACAACAAGATAAGCAACAATAATGTACAAGAAATTCAGAGACTACAATAACTAACCGTCTCAGGCAAATTATATATAAGCACAGAACTCATGACAGTTGCCAGAGCAAATATCCTGCAAAAGAAAATACATGAAAAAGCCAACTAAAAAATCATATATGATTCAACATAGAACACAGAATGCATGATCAGAAAGCAATTACCGATCATCATATACATTGGACTTCCCAACACTTTCAAATCCTTCTGTATCAAGGTAAAAGACAGAAGTTCTTACTCCATTAATATCCAAATCTATAGGTGTTCCCCAAACCCATATTCCTGAAAAACCAAAAGATTAAAAAATGGATTGTGAAATATTATATCCAAATCCAATCAGGCATATCCATGAGAAAAATTGCAATCTCTATCTACCTTTTGTCTTGGTGTCACGCATGTGCCCAACACCAAACCCTAACAAAAAAACATCATGTTAAACCTTTCAACCAAACATTTACACCAAAAAACCCTTAAATTTAGGTAATAAGGGTAAAATCTAGTAGCTATAAAAGATACACCTTCGTAACAAGAAAGAGAGAGAAGTTGATTAAGCAAAAAAGATTTTCCAGAACGATACGGCCCAATCACCTGATAAAAACAACCATAAAATGATAAAAGCTGAGCCCATAAACAGTTAATCAGTGTACTAACAACATTTCTTCAATACTGCACAAGTTTACTTCAATGAATATTACAGGGGTTACCAATAAAATTAAAATAAAAATCATCAATTACAAAAGCACTCACATAGGTTGTTATAGTAAAATCACAGCACAAAGAAACAATTCAAGAAAGGACAAAAGAAGAGAATACGCAGGAGGGAAATGAAAGAAAAGAAGACAAACTTATCTTCACAAAATAAGGTTTCAGTTCTGAACTAATAGATTCGCACCTATATAACATGTAAACTATTTAGACACTCTTGAAAAGAGAAATGATCAGGAGTCTCTCATATTGCTTACTAAGATGGGAAGGTCATGTTATAAGAGAGAAAAACACAAAAGTAAAATTAATGAATTCCAACGTAAATGACTGCAAGTCTTAATATAATTGTTTTTGTGTCCTTTTCCCCCATAACATCACCTAATGATCCTGATTTGGAGGTGGGGAGAGATTGGATAATCAACTTGTGAGTTTTTGAAGTTTCCATAAATTTTAGTCCCTCTTATGAAGTTTTTGGTCTCATCTTCTGGGGAAGAAAATGATCCTCTTAATTTATGAAATACTGTAAGTTTCACATATTGAACAACAATCGCATTGTAATAATTCATAAAAGACCAATTCATTCAAATATGTTTATATGGCCACACTTAGTATCAAGTGCAAGAGGTCAAATGCCTTTAACTTTACATTCATGTTTCAAGTTGAATCAACTGCTGGCCTACTGCTGCCTATCAAGTGTTAGAGCAAACAAATGAGAGAAAGTATTCACATAGCAATCAGCATTCAGCAACAGTCACAGGAAAAGAGGAATTTTCAACAAGGATGACATTAATCAACATAAAATTAGCCGATCCCTTCATCATGAATCAAACAGACCATCCCATAGTTCATGAAAAATCCTATTGAAAACATCAGGCAGAATTCAAAATTACAACTAAAGCCTGCTATAAAGTTTCAGTTCAACATACTGCCACTGCCGCAATGGGGTTGGTTATTCTCTTGATAGCCTCCAAACCTTCTCTTGAAAGACGAAGTTTTGTGTGACCGGGATCAGGTTCCACAATGGGAAAGCTGTACATACAGAAATAGGGCAAGAATAAGGAAAGGTTACCCTGACTTAAAAACAAAAGGTAGGAAACACTTTACAGAAAACCAAGAAACTCAGCAATACAACACCCTAGAGGAGGTCACTAAAACCATGTAGAAACATAATTAGAAGTAATTTTTTTTGCAAACCAATGATATCCTACAACCGACAATTAGATACTAATTCGTTTTGAAACGTAGAGATTACTAAAGTGGATATTGTTTCTCCCGACAAAGTCTTCTCTATACGCACACCTAGGAAATCGAATCCCTGTCACCATATTTTAAGGAACTCAATCATCTATCAACTGTGTTGAATTGCTGATAACCAAATAAGGAGTATAATAAAAGCAACACAGAAAAGTTGCTCACTATTCCCAAAATCACTAAAATAACAACATACAAGTCCCAGTCCAAAAATAACGGGTGCCACCTTCAAACAAATAGAAATATATACACAATACAATAATAACGTTGGCACTAAATTTTCACATATCAACACAACATCCGAAGTAAAGTACTCATTTCATTAGGAAATGCTGTCTCGCAGTGGCCATAAGTCTAGTGTGTCTCTTTCTCCTCTATTCATATTTTGAATTATTCAATAATCCTACAAGTCAAAGCACAATCAACATATCTCCCACGTCACTGAGAAAAATCCATCGAAACCGTGTTACCATTGATACACCGAGTGAACGAGGAAAAACAATGAAAGTACAGGGAGGATCTAAAATGTAAATGCTAACAAAAGCGAGGCTCTAACGGTTAGCAGTAACGAGATCTCGAAATAGGAGATAAAGTTGAATGCAAGTTGAAGAAACGAGGAAAAGGAAAAGGAAATGAAATAATTAGCAATGATTACTCACGCTTGGTGTAAATTGTCAATGGAGAAGGAGGGAGTGGGAGAGAGGAAGAGGAAGAGGAAGAGGAAGAGGAAGAGGAGAAGCGGAGAGTCCATAATGCAGAGAGAGAATTGTTCCTATCTGCGGAAACGAAAGGAAGGTGATTGAAGTTGGAGTTGCAGGGTGGAAGAAGCAATGGTTTTGGTATAACTCATGACGAAGGAAGAAAGTGTTGGAAAATTGGGATCTGAAGAAAGTCCTCGAGATTGGGATACGTTTTCTTTGTCAGCGGTAAAACGAAGACCGTGAAAAGGGAAGGCCCAACACCATCAGACTAACCAGAACGATGGGCCCAAAAATTAACCCAAGATCCAACACCGTAGTGTAGCCTGTGTAGGGGTCATTAGCTCTGTCGGACTTTATTTAATATAGTACTAGTTTAGAATTTAGATAAAACATTGCTAGGTTGTTGTTTTTTTATTTTCGGTAACAATTAAGTAATCAAATTTCAACATTAAATTTTGTGTTTACTACTCTTTTATTATAGGGTTTAAATCTGATTTGGCCAGCTGGACCTAATCTGAGGTTATTTTTTTTATTTAGATAAAAACATTTTCTTACATACGCTTAGATAAAACGTAAGGTGAATTTTAAGGGTAAGAGCTACAAAATTCTCTCAGCTATGTGAAATTAAAAATAATTATTATGAGGAGATTTTTTAACCATATAAGAGATAAAAAAAAATCAGTTTATTACGTATACCCTATAATATGGAAGATTGATATAAAAAAATATTTAAAAAATCAAGAAATTGTATATAATTTAACGAAACCTATAAAAAAAAATAGGTGTAATTGACACTAGATAAAAAGACAACCAACATTTCTATAGGAAGAAAATGTATAAATATCAACTGATAAGATATATTATTTAAATCTAAGACCTCCTATGTTGTTCATCTTTCTAAGAAATTTAGAAATACAACGCACGACATTTTCATTAGGGTTTTTTTTTTTGTTGAGTATATATTTTTAAGGGTTTTAAATATGTTTAGTTTATTTAAAAGGAATGAAAAATTAGTCATCGGGATGAACTAAAAAAAGGAGTGAAATTTGATTTTTGTTTTTTTTTAAATGTTGTTTTTAAATTTTTTAAATTTTATAATCACTATTATTTGTAAAATAGGCCAATTTTTATTTTGATTTTTATAAAAAAAATTCTTTTATTTTTATTTAAATTCAATATTTTTGTCTTGACATTCATTTTAAGGTGGATAAATAATATTTATTATAATAATCTATAAAAAGAAATAGGAATAACACATAATGACGTGGTATTACATGTAGTTATAAATTCTCCTAAAATAATCATTTAACCTTCTAATAAATATATAAATAATTAACAAGATTATAAATTAGTAAAGATGATCGGTAAACACATGAACCAACTAGTAAGAGGTTGTTCAAATTTAAGCCATAAAATATAATTATATTAAATACTTAAAGAAATACCTTAATCAGTGATATATACAAAAAATAAAAACATATTAACAAAAACTAAAAATAGTAATTATATATTTTAGAAAGGATATTACAATAAAATTAATATTATTTTAATTATGTTGTTCATTGTCCATCAAATCTTGTACAAGCTAAAAAATTGTCATGTAATTTAAGTTATTGTTTTGTACTATTATTCATGTACAGTGCCTCAATGTGTATTAAATGTGTTACTTGAAAACTTAACGCAACTGAAAACTAAAAACTCAAATTTAAGATTATTATATCTATTTAAATTTAAACAAAACTTTGCGTCAATTTATTTATACGATTCGTCTTAATTAAATTCACTTAAAATTTTATTTAACAAAAACAAGTTTTGTTTTTTTATTTTGTGTATAACCTCATTAGCGTGTATTCACATCCGAAACGTGAAAAATCATGTTTAACGTGGAAGCTATTGAAGCTATTATTTATAACTTTCACATTAAACATGATTTTTCACGTTTGGGATGTGAATACAAACACACTCCATATCAAGTATTATCGGTAGACAACCCCATGTTATACAACTAAAACAAAATTTCAATATACTTTTGAATTTCATTGCGTAACAAAAGGTGTCAACTGATATTAATATTTATTTTTCAGAAAAAAAAACTATATTGATATTTAGTTCTGATCCATAATAGAAACATACTTATGTTAAATCATGAAACCAGAAGAAAAATTTCAAGTGAGAACTGTGAACCTAAGGAGGTAATGTGTGTGACAGTCGTAAAAGCAAGAAAGAACAAACAGAGAGGGAAAGTGACTTAAAGAGTAAAATAGGAGTGGATAAAAAAAATAATGGGTGTGAATAGCAACTCCGTTTAATAGCTCCGTCTTTTCATGGGCTCTAAAGAAACATACCATCCCTTATTTTTGGGTCAATACTTGTCCCAGGAGTCCACAATTTGAACATGCATGAAAAATTAGCCCATCCATCATCCATGCATAAGTGCATCAAACTAGGCTGCGGAGTCCATTTATTTTTACTATATATTTTTTTAATACATCTAAATTACAAGGACATTAACATTAACAAATGAAATGGTAAAATTTTGTGTTATTATTATTATTTTTGTTTATTTTAAGAAATTAATCATTAACAGTTGAAACAAAATAGTTTTTTCAAATGTATTAAAAATGAAAGCTACATGCAATTTTCATCTGTCACGTTTAAATGCAAATTTAGGGCAGAACCACCTCGCCATAATGACATTGAAGGAGATGGTGGTCCTCGAAACTCGTTGAAAATTTAAAAGTAGCCGTTAAAATTAAGTTTTTTGAAAATATCGGTACTACAGTCCCATTAAAATTCGTATTCCACCTTCCAATTTTGCATGGTACTTCTGACCATATGATCCAATAGTGAAAACAGGAACAAACAATAGTATCTGTGTTAATCAATAACGATATTTATTCACATATTAATATTTTTTGTCACATTAGTTAAAGGAGAAAAATGAAAGGTGAGGAAGATGTAGGAGCTACGTGGTGTGCAGGTGTTGATGAATGATGATCATGATGAAGCATGAAACGCTACTCTCGTGTGTCTTTTCCACCGACACAGACCTATAATTGCAATATCTTGCTTACACATACTCATCAATAGCTTTGAAACTCTCAACTCACGGGAAAGAATCCTTACCCTTTTTCCTTTCCTCTTTTATGTTTTTCTTACATTTTCTGCTTTTTCTTTTTTCCTTCCAAATTAACTTGCGCATTGAAACATGAACTGCTCAAGTACTGATCTCATCCTGCTTTGGATTAGGTTAGGTCACTGCTTCTCTACTGTGGTCCACTGGTCCCCATTATGCATGCTGCATGCACAGCTTCAGATATAATCAATGACAAGAAATTAATTAACACACGAATAAGATATAACTATTTGTTCTCCTAAATAAAATAAATACTACCCACATACTTCAAAAATCTCACTATTTATAATAACAAAAGGAATTGATTCTTTGCTTGTTAACTCTGTTAAAAAATAATTCGAGTTTAGACATATGTTTAGAATGTGGATACTCGATGGTCTACACATTTTGTACTTTATAGTATTTGTGGAGTGGGGACGAACGCATTTTCACATTGTAGTGTAGCTAAAGTGAAAAGGATAATAATCACATTAAAGTTAGAAGTTTGAAAAAACGATTGACTTGTGCAGCAAGCACCTTATTATTTATTTACGCCTTTAGAAAAGGTGAACGAACAACGACCTCAAGGCCTCAGACGGGGGCAACCTCAAATAAAGAGAACGAAGGTGACAGCATCTTGCATTGTAACACACTATATATCTAGCTTTATTTAATTGAATCACGTTTATATCTTGTATTGAATACTTCGATCTCTACTCGGATCGTGAAACATGTAATGTTATTAAAGTAAATTATCAACATTGCATTGGTATGAATTATATATATATTCTTCATAATAATACATGTCGTAATTAGAAAGAAAAGATTAGGATTAAAGCGTATTCGATTTTTATTATCAACCTTGTTGGGATAAATTTCTTAAGCCAAATAGAAATTATCCATTAATTTATATTAAGAACCGTTGTCTCAGATTATAGAGTTAATGTTAATAATAAATACCTGTATCCATTGACGTTGATCAAAAGATTGCAACGAAATAATCTTTTGGTGCAATGATCTTCCTCAGCCAAATCACTGGATTCCTTGATGGGAGTTGATGTTACTCTTCTGATGGGGAGACAAAGAGACGTGTGTTTCTGATTCGCCATATTGGGGACCATGACCATCTTTATGATTTTAAACCTATTAGGGTTCCCATTAACCCCTAACGGGCCAAATCTAGTTTTCACTTATTTGGGCCCATATCAGTTTTTTCTTGTTGGTAGTCTAAAGGCTCACTAAAATTAGATCACTTTTATTAAGCCCAACTAAATGTAAATAACTAATATAAATACTACAAATAATATATGTAGCCCACAATATTTATTAGAAATAAAATTTCTAACAAACCTTTGTAATATTTTCTATGGATAAAAAGCTATTAATCCATAAATGTTATATTTTTAGAAAGGCTTGTAAATTACTTGCTTATTTCAATATTAGGAGTTGTTATCCACTTTCACTTGTGCTCCTTTTTCTTCGCCTTTGAGAGGTTTGTTTGTGAATTGCTTGCCTATGTTGTTTGTTATTTCTAACTTACCTTTCACACATGCTCCTTTCTTCTAACCTCCGACATTTATGTTTGTTTCTCTTCGTCTTCAAACAAGGGGTTTAAACATTTAAAAAAAAAAAAAAAACCAACGATGGAAGGAATAAAAACGGTAACATCTAACACAGAAAAAAACACATTCTTAAACATGACATGGGTTCTATTTGACGCGAGTCTTCATCTTGTTCCAGCCACAAAGGGAGGGTAGCAAAATCCGACACTTTTTGGTAGCAAAATGCTGAAAAGAATGTATGAGCTGGAATTATAGAAAATGTGAAGGTTTTCAAACAACAATTTAATTATAACACATTAAAATAATTAGATTTCTTCTTTCTATATATACTAAAATAAAATTTTAGTCTCTTATTTTTGTTTTAGATTTTAGATTGGCTTTTAAATTTAAAAAATTTCACTTTATCCTTAAGTATCCCTAGATCAAGTTAATTATTTCGTTATTTTGTCTCATTAATTTGATCAATTTAACTAATAAAAATATTTTAAAAGACTAAAGCAAAAAATTTTAAATTTAAGAGACCAAATTAAAATATAAAATAATAA